TGAAAGAAATTGCTCGATTTTTCGTCAAAATGAAGAGTAATATACAGACTTTACTTGGAAGTTTGATATGACCTCTGCATAGAAATATTATAAGTTAAAGAATCGAAACATATGGAGGATATTACATGGTCGCGCGGAGATACGAAATTTATCTTCGAGTGTTAACACGAGAAGATAAAGTTCGAATCTCCAAACGACCATGTAATTTTCTTTTTATTTTATAAAATATTCACAATACATAACGACGTTCGTGGTGATTTTCCGAAGGTTTCTGACCACTTTCGAAGATTTTCGAAGATATTCCAAAATTTGTCCAAAGTCCAGGCGAACATTTCCACACATTTTCCAATGATTTCCGAACATTTTTCGAAGATTACCCAATATAACCGTAAATTGCCGAAGACGACCGAAGAAGATCCGAAGATGTTTCGATCATACACCAACAAATCTACGTGTAGTTAAGATTACCGAACACAGTTTTCACGCGCGCTCTTGCTAATGTAATTCAGCGCGCGCACAAGGATTGCAAAAAATAAATAAATAAATAAATAAATAAATAAATAAAATAACAAAAATGGCGTCAATATAGCGATCAATTTTTTCGCTAAATGCCCACGCTATCTATACTATTTTTCTTCATAATTGAACACAGAGTACTGATGGTTTTGGTCTTTTGTTACAAAGGTATGTTAGAAAAGGTAACGATGCAAAGAGCCCAGCAATTCTCATCATTTTCTTGTTACCAAAAGAACCCACTTAAATGCAGCGAATGCGTAGTAAGTCGAAAAAGTGCGATTGAATGCGGAATAGCTTTCTCGGAAATACGCCTATTTCCCGAAAACCACTCATTAAAATTTCACGAAATTTTGCACGAAAGTACTTTAAGAAATAAGTAACCGGAGTGTTGAAAAATAAATTGCACTTCAACAAAGGTAGTTCTAGATATTCGAAGGAAATTCTAGATATTCCAGTGAACCTTCAACAAGAGATAATTAAAGATCTCTGTTAAATTTTTATTATAATAACTTGGGAGCATCATTACAAACTTGTTACATGCAAATTATAAAGAAAATATAACGGATTAGAATTTCTGCAAATAAATAGAACCGATTCTAAAGGCCTGTTTATATTTATTTATGCAACG